ATTTGTAGAAGTCGAAGTTTGGGTCAAGTTTTTTAATATCCTGAATGCTCAGAAGTGACCCAATCCTCAGCATTATGCCCATCGCACCATTGCATTATTTGTATCAACACAATTTTTGGTAATAATTGCGGTAAATGTTGAGTGGAGGATGGTGCAGAAATGATATGTCAACAATGCGTGTTGCCTTGTGATAAGAATGTGCATAGCTGGGGTGCGGTTCGGGACAATCTAAGATCCTTTTGGTGCCCTTATTGGTTTGAATCAATGCTGCAGATGTTTTTCACAGTAACAATGATGTGTCCTCTAAATCTATCTTAGCTGCTCATTCCAATTCAGCTGCTTTGGTGTGCGTCAGACACACATAAAGCTGTGCACCTTTGCCACAGGTTGTTGCCTGTAGCCGGGTGGTTACATAACACCTGTTAAGTATATTTTATAGATACAAACAGATTTGTTTCTAAGTGTAAAAGACTGCTCTTATCAACATTTCACTCCTTAGTGATTGTTCCGCAATGTGTCATCATTTCATTGCGTCATGGAACGTCTTTATGACATCAGAGTCGCTGCCAGACTAGTAGTGTAAGAATTGCCACTATGGCAGGCATGCTGACTCACTTGTATTATTTAAACTTACGGAGGGTTTTTTGCTGCGGCGTATTTCCTAAACCCGAATACCGTCATGTGCTCATGCTTTGGTCATTTCTCGTGGTGTTTTTACAATTTTTCCGTGATTATATATTGTTTCCTTGCATTCACATGCTTCGTGATGGTGTTAATCCAAGTTTTTGGGTTCCCAGCCTTATTTCCGACATAACTAGTAACGTCGCCCAGTTCCCTGTATTATGTAGCAAAAACCGTGATTTATGTTCCGAGGTCGCAATCGACGTATTGCATTCGGTTGAGGGCCAACTGGCGACCACTGATGACATGAATCGTGCTGACGCACGCTAGACATGACCTAGTATGACATGGAAATATAGTAATAATATTTGTTTTGACTTTGAGCATTCCATCTTCAATGCGGTGGCGTTATTCGCGTGACGTTTCTATGGCGTCGTGCATGTCTGGGTGATCTTGAAAAGTCTGTATGAAATATACTGTACAAGTTTGGGGGCGTCAGGCTTAGAATAAAGAGGGGTATAAACCTCAAAGGGGTATGGCTGTGGCCTGCACTGCATGCTCTTCAAAATGGCCGCCTCAGTTCAAATCCCCGTAACCCAAAATCCCAAATGTGGAACACTCCGTAATATAGGAAAGTGCCGCCAGTTTAGTGCCGCAACAGACTGTGATCTCTGTTCATGTGGTTGCTTTATTGCTTCACCATACCAAGGCCATTTCTTAAGCGATCTTCTTCCGTTAATCGTGGCCTGCCGGGTCCCCGCATATTCATCAAATGACGATCGCGCCCCAAATGTCAGCTCATAGGCATGTGGTGTCCCAGCTTATGTCCAATACACGGGTCACTTGTCAACAGCCTCTTCTGCAGACTTCAGCTGCTGCAGTCTGAGGATGCTACGTATGGGCTCTTTTTACCCGCGCGATGCAGACCTACAGACTTCGCAGCACCTCAGAACACAACAGGTGACAACTGTGAAGTCTGCAGCGTATTATACAGTAGGGCCGTGAAGTGTGAACGTGCCGTGAAAAGCCCGTTGTTCATCACTGAGACGCCATGTCATGCGGCTTGACGCTTTGCAATAAGAATGCCAACGGCTGCTAATAATATGGATGCCAACAACTCTTCGCGCAGCGAAGCATAGGCGAACCGTAATTAAACGATATATTTTTGCTGTCCTGAGTCTGTGGGCAGCGTTGCACCAGCAATATAACGGAGATATCCATGAGCGTTTAAAAGCTTATCAAAGCAACTCAAACCCACTTCATGTTCTTGACGTTCGTTAGACGCGAGTCAACGTGACGCCGTTGATTGTGGCGAAAGTGGCGCCAAACGTATCACCGCTTTGCGCGGCGAGACAAGTGGGATCCACCCAAGGCTATCTAACGAGGTAGAACCGTCCGGTCCGAAAAAGTGGCAACATAGAGCTTGCTTGAGAAAAGAGGTAGTTTGGAAGTAAAGCCTGCATGACGTCAAGTATACCATATTTGATGACGTCAGTGGCACGGAAGCCTCCCAATTAGCGAGCTGACTGTTACACAACCCATGAGTTTTAATAGTGGGCATGTCTTGGTGGCGTGCGGCTGGCGGTTCCCCGTTGGACTGAGAAGAAATTATCCGTCATTTCGCCATTCGCACACATTTCTGGAATGAGCAGTGAGTCATGGAACAGTTAAGCATCATCAGAACGTACGATTTTTGCATGTATGATGCTATAACATGGGTTTATATGTCATGCGGCGTTTGTGGCGTATTGCATTCCATGACCAGGCTTGTCGTTAGATAGCCGTAGACTTGTCTGTGCCGTTTGTGTCTGGTGGCAGAGTTGAACAGCTCAGCTTGCATAATTTACTTTGCCTATAGGTACGATTATATGACCATTTGCAATATTGATTTGCAATAGCTCTCGCTCTTATCACAGTGATATGAGTGCAGCAAGGTAAGCACAGTAAAACCCTATGATATTGGCTTTATGATGCTACTGTCAAGTGTTTCTTTACATCAGGGTTTGTACACATATGCATAATAAAATGTTCACAGACCGAGCATTTTAAATGCTACCAATTGTTCAAGACAAACTGCTCAGGAGATCTCTCGTGCGAAGCGTAGTCATGGCAACTGGCCACAACCCACTGATATAAAGAGCCAGGCAACTGCGACACGCGATGCGCTACAAACGCCGCATGAAGTTTAACCCCCTAGTTATGTACACCCCACGGAAGAATATAACATTCTGCTCAGGTCAAACTATCCCGAGATTCAACCTCCCTTCCCGCATTGTGTTTGCATGAAAAAACCGTGGACCACTCATTCAGAGTCCAACCGGGAAGCGCCAGCCGCACGCCCCCAAAACATACTCACCATTCAAACTAGTGGGTTGTGTAGCAGTCAGCTGGCTAATTGAGAGGCTTCCGTGCCATTGACGTCATCAAATATGGTATACTTGACGTCATGCAGGCTTTGCTGCCAAACTACCTGTATTCTCATGCAAGCTCGATGTTGCCACTTTTTGATAGTGTTAACCGATGCGGATGACACCCCCCTGGATCCACCTGTCATGTTGGTAACCTTGGCCTTGCCCAAGTCCCCGCATTACCACATTCTGGGTAGGCGACAATGTGACGTCATCATGGGACTAAATCATATGGCACCAACGCTACGGCGGTGTTAAAACGCTGTTCTTAGGGGGCCGGTTTAAATACAAGCATTTTGATAACCCGGATTTTTCGACTTAACACGTTCAATTAAGCATTTTGAGCTGGGAAATGGCGTTGGTTTGCACCAGAGCTACAAAATCATTGCTGAAACGCGGTTCCAGCCTGCAACCGACGAAAATATGGGTTGACCTTTTTATAATAATTTATTCCAAAGACGTCTAGCCGGAAATGCTTAGAAACAGTCTGTGCAAAAGAGTACAACATGCAACGGCAACAACATAGGGTGGAGATGAGGTACAGCGGCCCAGACGGCCTTGCAGCACTCTGGGACGCGCACTGAGAAATTGGAATGCACATCCTGTAGCGTTAAGAGGGGCGTGGCCAGAGTGAATGCGGGGTTGACTGGCCCTAATGGGAGCAGGGAGGGGTGAATTCCAGGAGGCGTAGATGCAGAGCGCGTCATTTCATTTCAATATAGCAGATTTTCCTTAAAATAGGACGATTTCTGGCCAGTTTTGCAATTTTTGCCAGTCAAAGGGTGGTGGCTAATATACCAGCTGGGAAATGGTCGGGGATACGTAAGGGTAGACAGGGTTTAACCCCCTACCTACCTTTTTCACCTAACCCTATCCGACATTATGGATCTGCAAGTTAACCAACGACTAGGATGATCATTGTAAAGTAGCAGCGAAATTTTTGGCACCCTGCCCTCCCCGCCTTACGTTACTTTCGTATTTCACGCCATGTAGATACTGCAGGACGACAATAATTGGGCTGTAATGCTGTTCATTTATTTCCAAATAAATATGCATTTGACAAAGAGGTATTACATATGAATGTTCAAGCACGTTGACTACGACGAATATGGCACGGGTACTGGACCTCGCAAACGTGATTTAGTACGATCTATTTTTTGGAGGCAGATAGCATTATTGATACGTCTTTAGAAGGTTCAAATTTGAAATGCATGACTATCTGTTCACATAACATTGAAATAAAGATGTAGGACAGGATTGCTACCCAGTTCATTAGCGAAATCTCTGTTCGTATTCATGTTTTTAGTATCCACCATCCTTTGCGTAGCATCAAACAAAAGCCACAATGCAAGCTACCAAACTTTAGTTCCATGGAGACGTTACGTCTGCGTTGCCTTTTCTAGTAGTCTTGAGCCTTGACATTGTTTATATAGCATCAGCCTGACGCAAGGCAGGAAAGGTCCCAACGACCAAATGTTTATCGGGCCCCAATGACGAGGGTCCTGGATACTCAGATACCTCCGCCTCTCGAAGCGTTCTGAGTGTTTCGAACGTAAGCTTTGCTGGTTAAGTTCGAAATATCCAAATATATCGCATGAAAATTACATCTTTTATGGTTATCAAGGACCTGAACGACTGATCTGACCCATCAAACTCCTACAAATATTTGTGAACGCACTGGCGCTTTTGCTAACGCACCTTTACGGTGGATATGCAGAGCTTTGTTGTCAAAGATGATGAGAGGGTTTCATTTCAAAGATGAGGACCCGTTCATGAAATCTGCGCCGTATGTCATATTGGTCACAGCTGCAAACTTCTTTGACTTCAAAAGGTCATTCAACAGGAGGTGACTGACGGCTCCGCCCATTCCTCGACTGCTTAAGGATAGGAACTGACGGTAACAATGTTTGGTTTGTTAGCTTTGCTCGCAACAAATGCGTTTTCAGTGCAGGTTGAATTCGAAATACGTTGTCAGTTGCGGTTTTCTACGTTTATTTCAGCGCGTCAGAAGGCGATGGCGGGCATACAACCACAGCGCTCCCGTCACCCAATACAGCAACAGTAACAGATACTACGCGTTCAAACAAGTCTGCTAGTCCCATGCAGCCACTTCCTGTGCAAGCCTTTGTGGAATTACACCAAACATTCGACGGAATCAATATATATATATATATATATATATATATATATATATATATTTACATCAAGTCCAATGCATTTTCCATAATGCATTCAACGTGCTGTGATATTGCGACAGCGGTGTATGGCAGCTACAGAAACCATTGAAAGCTATTAGCTCAACTAGCATTGTTGAGAACCACGCATGTGAACACGGGGGGGGGGGGGTTAACAGGTTCTCGAGGGAGCGCTACCAACACAAACAGCAATGCTCCTTATGATAACATGTGGCCACACGTAGCATGCAAAGAATGATGCCAATGCATGCTCGGTGAATATTAATGCTGACGTCCCAGACCATGAACTTTCTTTCGGAAATGCTTCCTTGTGCCAAAGCCCCGGGGCGCCATGTCAATTTAACACTAGCCTGTCGACGCTTTTCAACCACAATGTTGCTGCCAACGAATTTCGTCATGTGAGCTTATCTTAGCACATCGGAAACGCCTCCCCGAGGCCTAACGGGAGGCAGGCCACACTCAATGTTTCGATGAGGTTGGCGTTTGTTGAAGTACTCAAAATCGTCGTGTGAATTGTTCGCGAGTAGATGAGAAAACGAGGGTCGTTTCCACCGGCTTCTGAAACACGACACGTGCGGCTGTGAGAGGGGCATCGACGCTGGGACGCCCGTGTCAAATGGCAACCCGTATGAATCAAGCAAGGACAAATAGCATGGTGAATCCGCAACTTGTCTTGAGCACCTGCATTTGCGTCTTTAACAAGCTGTCCGCCCCGTGTATATTTTGCACTGCCGCATTCTTACCTGCAAGTGTTTGCTGGTCATCAATAAGCGGGCCGGTGTCTTCGTGCAGCCTCATGGAACTATCCAGTGTTGTCACGAAATCCTGCTGCCTCATTGAGCTATCAATCGTCACGAGATCCATCTGCTGAGAAATGTCCACCGGTTCCACCTGTGAAAGAGCCAATCCGTTCACGGAGCTTTGAGAGGAAGCTTGAGTGTTCAAACGGGAGCCCACTCAGGGTACTGAGTAGAGGCTAGAGTATATATATATATATATATATAGAGTATATATATATACTCTATATATATATATATTACTATATATATATATATATATAGAGTAGAGGTAGAGTATCGATGTGGCCACCACACCACAAACTAATTTAAAATGAGCGCACTTCACTGCGTTTTGGCGTTAACCCATGCAAGGACGCTCGCTCGTGTAAGGCTCCGCCAAATACTCCAAGATCTTTGAGGAGGAATGGAAATCGGTCTTATGCAAAGATTTAAAGCTTAATTCAGAGCACTCATCATCACGCTCACAGTTTGGGCATGAATGCAACTGTCCTAAGGTTTTCTGAGGAGGCACCTTCGGCATGATGTGTGATCGTGTCCAAGTTTAGGAATACTCCCTTTAAAGGAAGTGGTCCACATTTGTACGGGGTGTGGAACTAAGAGAGCCATTTTGAAAATAACTCGGTGCCGTTCATAGCCTGCCCTTCTCGAGACGTAATACTTTTAGTGTTTGAGCTACGTGTCCGCGAATATGTGCAGACTCTTCCGTGTGGAGTATTTTAAGGCCACTTACGCTTGCATGACGCCATAGCAACGCCATTCAAATCCTGCCACCCCATTGGGCATGCCGTTTTCAAGGCTAATGAGAATATTCAAGTGTCACATCTTTGAGACAAATTTTAGAAACATCTGGTGAACTATCACATGCCATTTACAAAAATATCATTGGGAACGAAACTGCATCACCAACAGGATATTATGGGCACAGCCATTTCATTCATTTTCGGGCCCAACTGGCGCGGTCAATATTTCAGACCAGCGCTGGACTTTTTCTAAGGCCTTGGATGATTTTAGGGCACGCGAGGCGGCGTTCATCACTGCGAATTTGATGACACTTTTGGATGATTGGTGGACTTTCACACCGTATGCAAATCGCGAATGAAGGCGTTCAAAATGCGAAAACAGCGGTTTCTAACACGTTAAGGTTTGTCTTTCCAAAATATTGCGTAGTATCATGGCAAAACGGCAGTGCAACTTACGTCAGATCAGCTGTTAGAAACGACAGTAAGTTGTGATTGTCTATAAATATAAGCCATTGATGCAAGTAAACAGAAAAAAACAGGTGTCTTGTTTTGTGCCCGATATGCCTCATGGGTGCACAATAAAATATTACGTGCCTTCTGCTACACTGGTCCTGTTAAAAATCTGCAAGTGTAGAACCTGCGAAATGTAGCTGAACTGATGAAAAGCTAAGATCGTGAACCATGAGAACAGAAATTCAAAAATCATGTCCTGTCCTTGCCAACACTGCAGCCGACGAAAATAGTATACTGTATTGAATTATGTGCACTAATGTTATTTCATTTACTTTTTGCGAGCACAGGTGAGTGTGGCTGAGTGGACCAACAGCTGTGCAAGTTGCTGCTCAATGCACGTGAGCAAAAATAAAGACTGAAAATTGTGTAGCTTATTTGTCATCATGTGCACAATGCTCCACTCCAGACGTAAAGGGTTGTTTCCCAAAATTTGCCATGATTACGCAACGTCGGTACGCCACGTTGAAACAGCTGATAAAGGACAGTAGTCGCGGGTTGTTATCTGACATAATCAGCTGTTGACGACCTCTGAGCAGTAATTTAAAACAATGCAACTTTCTACCCTGTGTTCTTGCTGAACTGCGCATGTGAAAACTGGGAGAGGTTCAGCTGGTTCAGGAGGGTCAAAGCACCGTTATGTTGTGTTTTTCTATCATCGCAAACCTAAAAATGGCTTGCTGAATTGGATAGATGCGGTTATGTGGGTGGTAATTGGTGCAAGTAAGACACAAGTGCGAGAACTGGAAATAATGCAACTAGCAATACTGCATAACAATTCCAGAATATCCTGTGCACCGCATGTTGAAGCAGGTTGCTGAAAGTAACAATCAAAGGCTGTCATGCCAATGTTTCTATCAGAGGATGACATGAATATCAACCAATCTTAACGTTCAAGCAGTTAAGCGTCTCATCCAAGCATTTTCTATTGTCCAGTGTTCTTCTGTAACTATTATGCAATATTTTGGGGAAACCCGCCATCGAATGCTGAGTGCACATAAGGAAATATCTTTTAACGCTTGCACAATTTGCAGCCTCCACACACATGGTTCAAGTGCAGTTAATCCCCCAGCACAGTTATTTATTGAATGTGTCATGCTGACATTACGCATTCGCAAACCAAGGTGGACAATAGCAAAATAAGCATATTTACATAACTATTAAACCACTTTTAAGCTGGCCATGCAATTGCAAGAGAGAGTTAACTATGGATGGTCATGATGGCCAGAGTGGGTAACGAGTGAGTTACTGTGAGGCAAGACTGAAGTGGAAATGAAGAAAAATAGCTCCTAGCCATCATGATTGCACTGGCGGACATATGCCACATTGGCATGTTGATTACGTCTGGATGTTGTCAGCAGACATGAACGTTGGTAGCTATCGCAGCGTGCTGCGTGAGCCTTCGGCGGTCTGTGCATTGGTGAAACACATGTGCCCTAAACCAGCTAAGTCGCCAATGTTCCCGTCCTTATAAAAACAAGGACGGAAACAAACCCTGGACGAAACAAGCACCCAAGTAAACAGCGCATTCCAAAGTTCCCAAAGCTGCGATGTTCCCTCCGAACAGTCACTCTGCCACACGCCATAGCGGAGAAATCAAAGCCATGTCACACCTTTTGTTGGGTTGGTGTGAGAATGACCTCATAAATGTATATCTTCCTCGCTTTCATGTAATTTAATACACCGGACATTGGCGATAACACACGGGTTCGGAAAAGGAAGATAAAACTTACGTTCATAATAGTGCGGGGGGGGGAGGCGGGGGAGGGGGGGGGGGGGTCCAATGGGATTTCTCCCGTGAAGGCGGCTTCTTAAAATAAATTCCCCAAACTTTTCGGGAAGATTTTTAGAAAACTGGTATAGCCGATCAGATCGGACACGAATGATTTATTTATCTATGAAAGTGCAAAACAGGTCGGATACTCGTTTTAAAGTCCAGCCTTCTGGGTCTAGCGTCCGCGAGCAAAACTTCCGAATAAAATAGACGTTAATTGGCTGTCAATAAATATTGAGAATGATGTGCAAGTTTCAATCAGGGTAGTTTGACGGATGCCATTTGCATAAGTCTTGAGGCCAGAAATGATCATTTGAGGGCGATGAGACGAAGGAGGAGGGATAACAGTTGGGCAAGACTTCATGCGCCTTGGGGGGGGGGGGGCAGTCGCCGAGCCTTAGCCGGCGCAAGGACCCCTTCGCGGGGTGTGCGCTGGTTGCCCGGTCGGTCTCCCTCCAGGGGACCTATCGGTCCACTTCTAGCTCGTGCACGTAGCACGCCCCGGACAAACGAGCGGGAAGGAGATAAAGAGGGTCGAATGTTGAATCACAACTTTCACTTTGTTTGGTTTAGGCGTTTCGGCCCGTTCAGACCACTTCACGCTCCGCAGACGAAACTAAAAAAGGCGTTATCCACGAGCAATCATGTCGTGCGAAGCAGGTTCGTGCGTCTAAAAAGCAACTAAACAAAATGTCAAGCGGATGTGGGTGATCATCACCTAAAACGTTTCTTTAGAGATAATTCCTGGATTGACAACGTTGACGGCAATAGATCTGCAGAATACTCATTGTTGTCTGCATTCACCTCATTCGAGAAGAATATATCCCACCGTGAGAGGGCGCTCACATGGATGGAAAAGGAGAAGAGGCTGTTTCAAATATAAATAAATGAGTGAGCCTTGTGTGACTAAGTCGAAGACGGGTCAACGTTTTCTCCAAGAAACCGTAAGTTTTGCATTTAATGATTCACGATTTATCAGTATTCATGTTTTGTGCCATATATTACAAGACGTTGAACACCTGTGCTAATTATTGCGGAAACAGGCCTGTAATCGAGTAGATTAAGAACAACGCCATAACCGAGCAAGAGAGCACCAGAAAACGTCTTGAAACACAGAAATATGCAAGAACACCACGAAAAAGGGCCAAAACACAAGCGCATAGCCATGTTTTGTTCAGGGAGCACACTGGCATTGGCGGTGCTCGGGGAGCACCGCTACTGCTATCTCTCCTGTTGTCTAGAGCGGTCTTTGCACTTGAATGCATACCAGTAGCTGCAAGCGAGTCTTTTTCATCATAACTGATGCTTGCCTCAATATCTTCAAGTGTGGAACATCATTCCCTTTAACATATGCTGGAACACACACACACACACAAATACATCGCCAAGCCCAAAATGAAACGGGGAGGGATCATGCCTACGTAGGCTTCATACTGCCACCTGACATCATACCGTAAATATTGGGATATAGGTATACAACATTTCGATTTTCGGGAAACCTTGAAGTTAATCTGACATTGAGGGTGCTGATCATTGAGAGCAGCATGATGCAGCGCCATGTATTACCATTAGCGAGATCTGAAGAGTCAGGACCAATTCACTGTCTTTTTTCCGCGAGGCTCCACCATTCTCAGTTCATAAATGGAAGAAGGACCGTTACACCCCCACATATGTTTTCGTCATGAGAAAGAACGAATCAGGGCGACAGGACCGAGGCAAAAGGCAACAGGACCGGGGATAAGGCAAAAGGACCGAGGCTGCTTTTGCAACTTGGTGTATACCTTTGGAATAACGGCGTGAGACCTCCTTCTCCGTCCTCCTCCACACACGGTTAATGTACCTGAAATAGCACAAATCGTTGGTGACTAGGTGTGTGATTTGCAATTGTAATAGCTCAATGCGCCTCAGCCGCAAATGCGCATCGTGTACATTTGATATGTTGGAGGCCCATGTACATAATACAGTCATGACGGCACGCGATTGCGCTCACATGGCTGTATGGAGCGACTGCAGACACGACTAATGTGAGTCAAACGCATTGATAAACTTAGTTACTGAGCTGAAAATCAACACAAAAATGCAACAAAAATCTTGGATTCCGAATGGTTTTTCGATGACATTATGTAAGTGGTCTGGGGTTCTGGGAGACCTTTTGGTAGCACCTAAAAACGTATCCTATTTACAATGGATCATTCAGAAAATTCAAAGGGCTCTGGATTTGAGAAAGTCTGGAACCTAAGACTTATGGGTCCAACCTTAAGATCCCCTTCTGAATTATACGGCTTAAATGTACGTTTTGGCCACAATCTGACTGTCTCATGCTAGCAGGTGATTTGTTAAATCTATGGCGAGCATGACGAAATACAGTGCGGCGGTCAATTTGTTTTCCTTTCTTCTATTTTGTGAAGCGCTCATATTGTTATAAACATAATTATAAAAACGCTGCCAAACACAACTGCATCTGACATCAAACAATTATCATGCCGACAGATGGAACTTTCACTATTTAACAAGGGACTCAATGCCCAGATGTTTTTTTCGAGATGAAGCGCATACGCAAAGTATGAAAACGAATGACTTAAAATATCAACATCCTGTCTGTTGTGACGTTCTTAGAAGGCATCACCTCAGATAATGTGGCATCCAGTTTTCGAGCGGCAAAACTCAAGTTTCCAGCGTCAGCCCACAGCAAAACTAGACAGCGTCAACCCACAGCAAAACTGGACAACAGCTATTTTCGCCTTCTAAGGCGCCATGGCTCAGTGCCTCCACCGCCTAGGCATACCACGAGAGTGGTGGTTTCCGTGCACAATTTTCACAGTATCTGTCATGCCGCTGCATGGCTGATAGGCTCGGTATGTCCTGCTTTGGGTTCCATAAAGGTATGGCGAAGGCGAAAGAGCAGCATCATTTTGTGTGCGAAACATCCCTTGCAATGATTGTTGCAATTTTAATGAAAGAGATAATTCTTGACTTGAAACAGTTTTGGCTGTGCTCATTATTGTTAAGCTCATTTACATGTTCTGCTCATTGGTGCTTATTTTCACGTCTTTATCTACTGCTGGACGACGCATTCATACATCAACGTTGCAACGCACTGTATTTGGTTGTACATTGGGTAGTTGCATTGCATAGCGCAAGTCTGGGTCACTTTTCCTTGGGCGCAAGTTCAGATGCAATTGGACCAGCCTCAATGGCGAAATAAACCACATATTTGGATCATGTTATCATGACAACACGCTGCTTCTGGAAGTTTTGCCTGGTATGAAACGTTTGAATATAAATGTGTGACATGGTGAGTACAGAGGAACAACTGCAGCTTTTCAAGCTTCTGTCAATTTATGCAGGCTTTAACCGATAAGACCTGCTATAGCCAAAAAATGTCAAAATGTAGTTAAAGCAGGCTGACAAGCAAGCCGTGATTTGATGTGATACATAAACAGGCAGTGTGTATGAAATATCATGTTTTGGTGTGTCAAGGGTGAAAGGCATTGAGGTTTCGATACAAACCTAAAAGCTGCAGACATCGATTAGGCGCGATGATGACGCTGGTGTGTGTTTTCGTCGTGGTTTTTGTAATCTTCAGCAACGGCCATCCGAACAATCCGTCTGCGGAACATATACAGAACATATTGTCACACATGTATGAACAGACTGTCGCTAATAGAGTAATCTAGTGCAACAGTGTAATATAGTGCAATATAAATGGTGTAGGGAAAGTTTTGCATACACCTTGCATTTTGGTAAACCCCTACGTACGAACTAAGTTGTTAACCCTATGGAATGACACTGCCACAAATGATTGGCATCAAGAAATGATTTACACATGTGATTTCGCATTTAACAAAATTGCCAGATCTAAAAGCTTAACATGAGCTAATGCTGATGGTTTGGCACGGATTATTAGAGGATATGTAACAAAGCCAGCTCAGATAGACAACGGCTATTAGTTTTACGGAAGAACTGGTAAGCAGCTAACAGGATAGGTTCATAATCTTAGGTCGTTGTACATACCGAATACGTTTTTTGTACACCCTAAACTAAGGTGATCTGGAATGGAAGCTTTTTAAGGTCGAAATTCGTTTAGTGCGATATCTGAACTCCATGTGTATTCCATTTACGGTGAATTGTACCGAGACCATTCAGCTATAATAATCTAACGATATTGCAACCTTTCTCTTCAAGATTTGTTAACAAACTGTCCGACGTTTTTTAGTTGTAATTTCACGCTTATGAAGGAATTCTTCCGCCCGTTTGATATCGCTCCCATGATCTGAAATGTGTGAGATGTAAAAGCGCCTCAGTTTGCAGTTTGTCGTCATCAAGAAGTATTTCCTCTTGTCGCAATAAGCAGTCAGTATTCCACTAAGTTACAACCTCGACAGTGCCAAGAATATCGCCGGCGACAGAAATACTGCAGTGCTTTATTGAAATGTCCATTTCAGAAGCGCTCGCAAGGATGCTTAAAGTTACCCAAGCACACGCTATCTGGCGGGTAGTCTTGAAAATTGTCTGCCATTCAGGTCGATGTCCTTCACGCAACCATCGTGGCCTGAGAAGTAGAGACAGTCTTCTCTTCCCGCGCTCAGTGGCTACACACGCTGTTTGCAAGGCATTTGAAACCGTATCAGGTGAAGGTCGATCTGGAGTTTATCGAAGTGCGTTCGTGTTCAGGGGGTAGCCGTGGAGACGTTTTGCTAGGTAGATGAAAACTGGTTACGCAAACAAAAATGTCCAAACGTTCAAGGATTTGTGACATGAAAAATACGTTACTAAATGATGTTTTATGCATATCCCAGCCTTTACAAACGTCATGTTGACCGCGTGGTACTCATTGGTATGGCCTAAAATGAATCGAAAACTGTTCCAGCATGTTTGTAGATTGATATGCCACGCAGCGTTAGGGATTTGATGGCTACAGCTCCAGCTGTTCTGCTGTTATGTCAAAACATCTGGGGCGAGCACAAATCTCGTTGCTGCGAGACTTGAATAATCTGTGGGCAAGCAATTATCACTTCAGTCCTTTTTGTCCCTGAAGAGGACCTTACTCGGCCCAAAATCACCGGCATTACTTGCCTACCTAACTCACAAAAACCGGACCACGGATAGTTCGGAACAATATAAATGTACTGAACACCTTACATCACATCTACATCCGCGAAACCGATGGGCAGACCGCGGTGGCGGCAACGGGAGAGCGTGCGACACCAGACATAGGCGGGTCACGTACCGGACACGGGTGGGTCACATACCAGACACGGGCGGATCACGTACCAGACACGGGCGGGTCACGGGCAAGACGTGGGCGGGTCACGTACCAGAAACGGATGGGTCACGTTCCAGATACAGGCGCGACACGTACCAGACATGGGCGGGTCACGTACCAGACATGGGCGGGTCACGTACCAGACACAGGCGCGTCACGCACCAGACACGGGCGGGTCACGTACCGCGTCGGCCGCTCGGATCCTGCGGCACGTCACCTCCAAGAGCGACGGCCAACAGACAAAGCGTCAGCTGCAGCGCGGATGGTCGCATGGTGTCGCAGCGCTCGTCCGGGACAGAGTGGTGCCCCGTGGAGCGGCCGCCGCCTGTTCCACCCGGGCTGACCAGCAGCCGGAGGCGCTCGGTACCGTCCGAAACCGAGCAGGCGCCCTGGCAGACGAGCCTTAACGATTGGGAATATGGGTGAAACCAGTGAGGAAGGGGGGAGGGGGCTGATGTCCCGCCCCCTCTTCCTAAAGTGATTCTGTCCCCGATGTGTCGCGCGGAATGCATCTGTTTCGCGTCTTTTCATTAAAAATGTCACTTTGGGGCTAGGTTGTCACCCCAGATTCCCGTTTCACAGCTCCAATCCTGATTTGTGCTCCCAACGTCAGAGTCGTGGATACACCCATGATGGGTCTCACGCAGTACAGCCCACTCCACGTACCGCTACAGTTCAGCGGTACGTGGAGTGGGCCTCTCCGAGCCACCCCTGGTAATGAAACTCCCACTATAACTTCAATGTCAGTTGTAGAAGAAGCAATGGACCCTCTCAGCACAATTGGCAAAAAGCTGGAGCAGTGTCGTCGTCACTCTGTCTTCTGTGATGCGGTTGGAAGCTTCAGCATACCGACAAATTTAGCAGGAAATGTTTGCGGGACTTTCACTCAGGTATGCTTTGCACCTCATCCTGCATTCGGGAACTCCCCGAAGCCTTCTGCGAATCGCAATGAATCTTAGCTTTACAATGGCAGCTGCGATCTGTGGTTAGTGTTGCATATCCAGCTGTGCTTCGCCGCCGTTGGTACCCAGTGTAATAGTATCCCACATCATCATTTTCATGGACGCGTTAGAGCAGCGCTATACTAATCCGCCTCGTACCAAGCTCAGCCTTGACAGGAATACGTCACAGCCGTGGCCGGCGTCTGGGCGCAAGAACATGGCAGACCCCGGTAATACCTCATGTTGAGAAGGACACAAGATTTGGGGAAAGGGATTTGGATCCCCAAACTTCTAAACATTCAAAATCAAAGTTTTGGGGGGTTTGAATAGCTCACTTGGATAAACGGGGCCTTCAAAATAAAGATTATGGTGCTTCGAAATGAAAGTTATGGTGCCCGAAACTGACCGCTTTGATGCCCCATAGCCCAATGCACAAAATTGCTGCATCCCTGTAATTAGGTATCCTAGGAAAATGAGGGTATGGGACTGGTTGTGGTGTCCCCGAATTTCGGTGCCTATCGATAAATATTCGTGGTCATTTGTGGTGCCCCTGAATTTTTTTGGCATTTTGAACGTAAAGGTTACCTGCATCCGAAATGAGGATTGCAGAGCCTCTTCAACATGACATTTTGTTGCCCCCTCGCCCCATGGGACGGGGAGCATAGCCCCATTACTCGATCCCGCCACCAGCACTTTTGATCGTCCATTTGTCAACCGAAGATGTTGGTCAAGGTCGGTTGACAAGGCGCGCCTCACGTCTTCAATGCGTATCTCGTTATTTTCATCCAATTTGCCATTCGGCTCCATACATAAGCCCCATTTATGTCACTTTGGCGTGGGTCTGAGTATACACCGTGCTGTGTTATCTGTAGATGCTATGTAACTGGTGCGTTTTGGCACGAGATATGTGTGTACTGAGCCATGCTGCCTCTAAACTCTCCCCACCCAGGCTCTAAGTGCATGTCTCCTTCAAGTCAACAGGCCAACTACAACCAGTGGCTCAGGTACGCACGCAAACAGGCACGCACGCTGATAGGCACCTATTGCCCACTCTAACGCACCTCCCGTTTCAAGAGCGTTCGCAATGAGCACCGCACAAAATGCTCTCTGTATTGTGCTCGGCTCTATATCTATAATGCTCTCTTGCCCTGCGCACGCGGTTTTCCTGTCTCCGTTACAAAAGACTTGTAGTGTCTATGGATTCAGTAAAGTGATGAAACGAACTGTGCATATTACAACACAGACAGACTTGGAATAATGATGAAACGAACTTTGCATATCAAATACTCTTGCTATCACATCCATATTATATATACCTGTGTCGCGGTTATATTTCCTTTGGTCTCATGCGACGTCGGGCCCAATGCCGTCTGCATTCTCACGCGGTTATGGCCATCGGCTGCCTTGGCCGATCAGCTGATCGTTCTCGCCAACTTGCCTGTCGTCGAGCGCGAAGTCTGGCGCATGGAGGATAATGTTTTAATGTGATTCATAATAAGTCGGGCGGGGAAGTTTCTCGCTTTAAGTTTTTCAAGCGCAGTAGTCGTCCAACACCGGACCACAAACAGGTCACGGCTTGTAGCGTGGGAGTTGGTTTAAGAGGCGGACTCGGCGTGAAATCAAACAAGGAGCAAGTAAATGTGGAAGAAAGTAAACAGTCTTGCCTCACATGGTTGCAATTATCGACAAAATAATCTTTACACGAAACATCATTGCCGATATATAATGCAGCAATAACATCATGGGTAAGACACAGCGAAGGTAGGTACTTACATATACGTACAAAACACATGCTGAAGAGACATCAGCACCGATCACATATTTCTGAGTATTGCCTTATATGAATTCACACATTCACACTCTGATCCTGGGTTACACACATTTCCCGTTAGATAACTCCGTTCACAACTCGGCAAGATATCATGGAGACTAGATAACCGCGAGAAGAAAGGCAGATGCACAGTATGTTGCTATCTTAACCGAGACATGCATCAGAGAAAGCCTGCTGCCGCGTGAAATGGCGGAAAAATTAAATTAATTGGCAGAACCTGCTGCTACCCCGCCGCCTACTAGCCACGTATCCGCCAAATACTGGCAATAGCATGATACTCTGGCATTTATCGCGGTGTCGCCAAATGCGACCGGCTGCCAATCGCCCAACGCCTGCATTATTGCGTCTCCCGTTCAAGAGCATTTGTGGCATGCCCCATACATTGGGCTTGCCGTAAGCTCACCGTGTGCTCTTACATCCATTGCCAAAGACTTGGAGAAACGATGGAAGGAGCTGAGCATATTTAAAACCATTGTGATTGCATCAAAATTGCATACCCGTTCCTTTGTCCTAATTCCCTCGGTCTTATGCGCTCACTGCAGTCCGTCTTACGCAGTGGCAGTGATCGGTTGCCTTGGTCGATCATTAATCGTTCGCGCCGTTTTCATTTGCAGTAACCTGTCTGTCGCCAAGCGCGCGCAAACAGTTCGGCGCGTCAAAATGAAGACGTTCTGGTTGTTTAGGTGGGAAAAGTCTCTCAAGTCTTTCGACACCAGCCCACGGGCAGATCACGACTAGATGCGAGGGACATGGTCTCTGAGGACGGCTTCAGCGTGGGCTCAAGCTAGGAGCGAGCAAATAAGGACGGAGCCGACATTGCTTTGCTTACATTGGCTGCCAGGGCTTCCTCAGATATTAACAAAATGAGGATGATCTTTTCACGAAAATCGCTGCCGATACCAGACGCAGTAATAACATGATGTTCAACCCTCGCTATGATAGGTGGCGATTATGGTGTGTGTTTTGACATCAAAACGTGTTCCTAGATTTTCTGGTCTCGGAGCCGCGGCAGTCTGTGATTAACACTCCAAGGCGATATACGGCTGGCTCGGGCGGCGGGCGGCAAGAGAACTGTACTGCAGATGTGCTCAGAATTGAACAAGACACGCGCCTGGTTAGGTTTGGTGTCGCCACAAGGTATGGTCTCATAAACAGTATGTAAAGCCACAAAGTGCGGTTTTCTGGAAAACTCGACCTTTGACCTGTCACCAACATAAAAACTGGTACCAATCGTGATATCGTGTACAGAACAACATACTTATGTTTTCGGCTAAGCTCTTTCGTTATAAGCTTGGAAATGCCAGGGGAGGGTCGCATCAAACCCCCTCTCCCCCTATCAGTCCGAGTTATGTGAAACGGCGAATCAGGGCGATGGTTAGGACATACAACGAGCATATATGCTTAAACGTACGGACAACGCGCGTGCAAAAGGGATATTACTATCAACCACATATTTCCTGAGCGAAACATTCATGAATCCACACATTCGCACTCCTAACTGTGGGTGCCAGTTTTCCGGTTTTCCGCATGGTAATGCGGAAAGACGGATGTTTTAGCTCTTTCCAAAATACTTTGTAAAACTCCGTCCGGAAACCGTCTGTGCCTGAAGCCATATGATTACACATGCTTTACAATGCTGTTGTAAGCTCATCAAGTGCTAATCTAAAAGTGTTTAGTTTTGTTCCTGATACCGTGGAAAGCGACATTGTCCATGACCTTGACAGTCAGCCCTCCCTTGCATAAATCTTTGAAATACTCTACTGGCATCGAAATTATTTCCCACTGGTCAGTGATTCTCTCCTAATCTGGACTACGTAATGACGAAATCATAATGCAAGGATGGCAGGCTCTTATCATACAAACGTTGCACATACATAATATTTTCATATTATTATAGGTTACAACTAGTGCAGCTGTTGCGAGTCTGAGCAGACAGCAAACGACATGTTTCGATCAGAAGACGGAATTTTAGGAATTCCTGATCAAGTTTGACCTTTGACTTCCGATTTAACCTCGGATTTGCCCCAGTACCTTAAACAATGACTGCAGAAATGGGCTCTCTGCGATCAAAAGTCCTTGAAAATTGGCATCGCACAGGCCTGCAAGTCATCGAGATAAAACTTTGAAACGGCACCAGCATTCAAAATGGCCGCCGCCGCCATCTCGAATTATGAGAAATGTGCAGAGTTGCGCAAGTAGCAATCAATCTTAATGTGTTCCTTTAGCTGCATAATACTGGGTGCATAGAACGTTTTCGTCAAAAACTCGCTGTAGTTGACATTGCAGGGTTTCACTGAAAAGATAACGGCGGCAACACGAATACACGTGCACAATCAAGTGAACAGCGTCTTCCTTAGTACGTGCGTCGTGTATGTAACATATGTGTATATAGCGATGGCATGTAACGTATGGTGGTTCTGTGAGTGGTACCCATACAATGGTATGAGAAGACAAAGAACGACATGCATCGATCAATAGATGTGATTGTCGTATTTGTGATCAGCTTTTACCTTTGATCCTCAATTTGAAATTGAATTCAACCGTATACGTGAAAAAATGGCCGCAGAAATGGACTTCCTGTCATAGAAAAACCGTCTAAAAACGGTGTCACACGACCCTCCAAGTCATCAAGAAGAACAAAAACTGTCGAACTAGATCAAAATTCAGCATGGCGGTGGCCACCATCTTGGATTCTGTGAAATGCTCAACGTTACACAAGTAGCAACTAAGCTAATTTGCATCTCCTAGCTACAAAGAGCATATTTCCGTGAACGAAGTTCGCGGTAGGCGACGTTGCAGGTCCCATAGAAGGAGGCGCAAGGGTGGCAACTCGACTAAAAGGCGTGGTTACCGCCACACGATGGAACGCTTTTAAAACCAAGTTATCAGCAAACTAGAGGACGCTCGTGACTGAGGCTGGATGTACCTCTACGATCAAAAATCGCTCATGATGGAATCACCAAGGGCTGAAACAAGTCGTTTGACAGCGCCATTAATATATTTCTCCAGCGGTACACTTGAGCACGTCATGTTCAGGAACAGGTCAACAAGTGACAACATATTGCCACGTCTTCCAGAGACGAGGGGGCTGTCGTGGATGTAGCTTGCATGATAGCCCGCTAACTTAGCTTTCAGCGTACCAGCAATACCTGAGCTATTACAATGGATGCCTATTGGATATCGGGTGAATGGAAGGGCCCATATCACTTAAGTCATCGCCGCTCGCAGTTAACCCTAACAAGGGTTCTGTCGAAAATCGACAACTCAGGCTTTCACCAGGTCATGCAGTGCTCCTGGGCATTATTCGGGGTCAGCGTGTCAAACAGTGCCCGGGGACGGTGTTTGGGGGCTCACCAGGTCACGCAGTGTTCCATGGCAGTGTTCGGGGTCAACGGGTTGCGTAGTGCCCTGGAATAGCATTCGGCATCAATGTATCATAGAGTACAGGGGGCGGCGTTCGGGGTCGCCAGATCACGCGGCGTCCCGTGGCGGTGCACGGGGTCACCAGGTCACGCCGAGCCGTCGTCGGATCTCCTGACCCAGCAGCTTGCGCTCGGACCGCGTGCCCTTGGCCACGGTCCTGTTTTCGGCGGCCCGCCGTGCCAAGTAGGGCATTATTGACCTGAGGTCACCGAGCGGGGTCGACTTGTACACTGCGTAGCCGGCCCGAGCTGCACGAAGGAGAACGTTCGTCACAGGTGCGTGCGCAGTGGGCGCACCGTTCGTTGGTCGATATTCAAACATATACGGCAGCCGTATAAATCATAACCACAACCATGCACATATGTACTAAGTCTTACAGAGCCGAAGAAAGTGCGCGCACTGATAGAAGGCACAGATGCCGTCTGTCAAATCGACGATGGCACAAGCGTGCGCATACCAGCAGTTTATCGTCTCGGTTATGCGTACTCGCATATGCATACTGTTCACTTTACGCCAACTGTGCCTCACGATACACACGTGCCTCACTATACGTCTTGCACCGACCTTCAAAGTCTACAGTCTTACAGTCTAAGATTCACAGTCTACAGAAATACAATCTAGTGCTCTAACAAACGTGCTCAACGCGTGGCCGCCATGCGCGAGAGTCTCTATGCCTTGCGTGGCTACACCCGCCTGGTAATTTCGCTTTGTCACCAGGGGCTCGGACCGGCGGTCGAACAGCTAAAGGACCGAGAGGCACAGGCACCTGCTCGTACACGTACCGAGAGGCACAGACACCTGCTCGTACACGCCGTACGTCTGGCCGAACAGCACGCGCCCGTCGTCCCTGGGCAGCGCCAGCTCCTCCATGAGGCGCACCGCCCGCCGGATGCTCTCCTCGTTGTGCGAGGCCACGATTACTGCCGACCTCTGACCCGTGCGGGCCACGCGGTGCAGCATGCGTGACACCAGGCTGCAGGTCACCGCCGCCGACGTTACAGGTCGGAGCGGGTCAGTCCGGAGTGATGGGGGGGGGGGGAGGGGTCAAGTGTGTGAGGACGGCGAGCGGTCTTCCAGAGTCGGGATAATGATCTTATCGTGATGTTCAGGGTTGTGCCGTTCCCGGTGGTGGGTGTATTGACCGATCATTTACAAGTTTTTGCTTTGAAGTTTCACAAATTTTTGCCATGATGACTTTGACATCGGATTTATCGCAAACTATAGGCTTTTTGCGAAGGTACTGACACTTCCATCCCAGTAACACATTTCCAGCCCAGCGGACATTTTTTTTGTCGATAGGTGGCAATGTGCCACGCAACGCCATGACACGGCAGTCCTCGCTTTAGCCAAACGCCAGGCGCTTCGTTATCGGTCAGTTGTCAGCTGTCCTTCAGTGACGTCCAGGGGTGTCACTTTGCATACTTTTGAGGGTCCTGCCCCCCCCCCCCCTTTGCTGATTTGAGCCCTGCTCCTCCGAGCCCCTCCCCCCCCCCCTCCAATGCATGTGAGCAAAACATGGACTACTGGGCCGTGAAATGTAGGAAGTGTCTGAACTGCTGGTACACTGTTAGCTACACACGTCACTATCAACATCGCCATCATCACATATGAGCATTATCACATATGATCATCATCACGATCATATCGGCTTCAAATGGGATGTTATTCCACAACATGACTCACGTCGATTGCTTTAAAACAATTTCGAAACAGTCAAAATGCGCATTCCGGCTCAATTTTAAAATCGGGGACGTCAAACAAAGTGGCTGAAATCCGCGGAGATATGAGGATTTCGGGGCAGGTAAGTTAGGTCAGCTTTCTTGGCTCAGCCCCCGCCCAACCGAGTTTGGAAAGTGACACCCCAGATGACATGGCACGTACGTACTGTTCCAGGGACCCGATCTCACCTACCCACCACACATTGAGCACTGCATCCGACGCCCCTTCCATCAGGGATGCAGGGGACAGGTTATCAATTCCAACCTGTTGTACATGTTTGACGTCTCTTGATAGGTCTCATGGATGGGCCTGGCCAACCCGAGGCTTGCAGCTCTTGCCACTTCCTTCTCCAAATAAGCTCCTCTCACCAACTGTAACACAAGAGAAGTGTTGCCCAGCTGTTGACAGAAAAATTAGCAAAGCATAGAGACAGCTCATGCTTCGTACAAAAAGAGAGATTTATGGCTAAAGTAAAGGCGGGAATGCATCAGCAACCCAGCGGGGGAAGAATACTCTATGAGAAAGAGAAACAATGCGAATTATCTAAAACTTTGATTGCATTGCCAGACCAGTAACGGACCCAATGCCTGAATCGCAGCCTAACGCCTGGCAAGATTTCGCTGGTACCGACACTGGTACGAGCGTCCAGCGCATAAAACAGGTCAACATTTACGAGCACCGGCGAAATCCATATGCATTGCCAGTCCTGGGAATCAGACCTGATACCACCGATACACAGCTAGAAACGGCTGTCATTTCGAAGTACCTGAAAATTACATATCTTATAAAAGGTACTACGACATCACCTACTCACTTGTGGTAGACTAGAGGGAGGGTCATGTTTACAGCCGACGCAACGAACTCTGGTAAAGTCGCGCTTATACAGCACGGCACGCGAGACACCTCAGTGCTCTGTCGGCTCATGTTGATCATCAAAGTTGTTGGATGTATGAAGAAGATCCGTCGAAGGCTGTGCACGACAGCTTGGTCAAACCAGAACCTAAACTCAAACCTAAACCCAAGGCTTGACCTAAGCCTAAACCTCACATAAGCCGTCCCCGGTTATGGCGGTTTTTTAACATTTGGTTGGCGGGATTTCTAGATCCAGCATGGTTTGGGGCATTGTCGCCATGGATCACGTGCCTGGCCAACTGGATTGGTAAACAGAACTGAGGAAAGGTTTGGTTACGTATATCGAAAACGAAGGAAAACGGGAACGACTCGCCATCTCCGAGTTAAGAGACTCATCATCTGCAAGTCGAGCGACTCATCCCCCAAGTCAAGCAACTGACGTCGTGCTCAGTAGTGGATAAACATTGGTCACCTTGGCCCCATAACAGACACCTATGTCGTCAACAACTTGGAGATGATTCTTGAGCGATTCTTCCGCGTCCTTCAAATAGCATTGGTAAGTGCCCCAAACCAGCGGCGACTGCAAGCAAGGAAGCACTTCAGTACAGACATCGTGTGCGCATGGGAGAACACACACATACTCTACGTGGCAAAACAACCTCATCACAAGTAATTTATTCTGTTCTCTGTTTTAATCTGCGTAGCTTAAACACCAACACCTTTGAATGGACATGCTCTAGTGTTTGCCCGGCAAAAGCAAGACGCCTTTCCACAGTTCGAACACAAGCTAAAGTACATTATAGAATAAACCTGCATGAAACTACGATGTAAATGCGCATCACCCGCACAACTGACGTTCGGCCGGCACCACACCGAACGCTTCAAACCACCAATAAAGGAGTATCAAATCACGGGCAATAGCATGCGCGGTCCTGGCCGACGCTGTCCCGCCGGCCGCTGCGCCAGCCCGCGGGCCCGGCACCAAGCCGGCGGCGGCCTGGCGCCGTCCCAGTCCGCACCGTCTGGTTGAAGTTGGCCGCCATGGCGAGTGTGAGGAGCGCGATGGCCGGGTTCGTGTAGGTGTACTCGCCGTCCACCATCATCCGGATGGACTGGCTCTGGCAGAACTGGCCTGCCGGCAGGCGCGGCTGCAGTGACCGCCGTGGTCTCCACGCTGCAAAGATGCATGTTACCCAGACAAGAGACATGGATCGTGACGGTCCTTCAGCTGGCACAGCAGCACGTGTCTGCGCTGGGCTGTTGCCAGCGCAAGAGACAGCATCACTCGTCGCGAGGCCAGGTGAATGTAGAACTCGGCGTCCGGTGGAGTGTAGGAGTGACAGGGAGTGAAAGGCTGGCTCGTTCACTTCATTCCACTTCAATGGGATCTTCACAAAATGTCAAATGTTCTTGGAATTCCTGCGAGTTCAGACCGAATTCCTGCAAAATCGCGCGGTATCTAACGCAAACCTCCTGGCTCCGGGGGAGGGGGGACACGACCCCGCGTCTCACGTGCCCGCGACTTCGTCCTGGTGTATAGTGGCATGGAAGCAAATCGGGTAGCCCTGCCCCTGCGATGCATCCCCATTATTCGAATGTGTGCTGATTCAAAATGAAACACGAGTGCCACCCGCGCCAAATGTCCCCATCCAGGAGCACGGCCAGGAGCACGACCAGGAGCACGGCCAGTAGCGCAACCAGGAGCGCGGGCTGGATTGTCTTCCAGAGCAAGAGGGGGGGGGGGGGGGCGAAGTTTGGTGAGCACGCATCACGCGGATTTTTAACTTTCTGCAGGGAACCATCTATGACGAAAAACGAAAATCTGGGCGTAGGAGATGGGTCCTCTTCAACCCCATTCCGCTCGTCGGTTGCGCCCCCGTCCCAATCATCCTCCACCTTTCTCTTGCCCGAGGGCCAGTCTTAACATCCCATGAACACGGAGAACCCTGCGCCTGATTTTTCAGCCAAAGCGCCTCATCCCAGCCCGGGACGTATGTAGGGTCTGTGTGTTTTCGGGCGGAGCCGGAACGCGTTTTTCCGCGAATAGCCCAATCTTATGTAAAATTCCACCACCACACTACGCTGGCTGCATGCTCCAACAAACCATCACACCTGGACCACGTGCCCCTCCGTGGCGCCTCCTGTTCCGCCCTGCCTCACCCACTTCCACGAGGCGGCGCAGACCGGCGTCCCACTGGCTCTGGTCCTCGGCGGAGAGCACGGGCAGCCGCTGCACCGGACCGCCAGCCATCTGCGCCGCCACGCCCTCGACGAGGCTGGCGAGCGCGGCAGGCCCGGCCGCCAGCGAGCTGACGGCCGCCAGCGTATGGCACGGCACCAGGCCGGTGAGCTTGAGCAGCGTGCACGGTCGCTCGTGCGCCGCCATGATGCGTGGCACCATGCCGAACTGGCGCAGCGTGGTGGCTAGGTTGGCGTCCAGGAACGAGGCCCTGCGACCGGCGACAGCTGGTCACTTGTCAGTTGTCAGTTCTCGGTTGTCACTCACCAGTTGTCACAGATGCATGACACGGGCGCAGTGCGCTCCCGTCCCATCAGTTTCCGCAAGGAGCGCTACCTACAGGGGCTGTCAACGAACAGGAGTAACGACGCGTATCTGTTCATGCACCTGGCACACCATGAAAAAGGACACACACTATCAGCATTCTCAGCCTGGTGTGTCCAACCAGGAATGTTATCAGGATTTCGTGAAGGGGACATATGTCGGAGATGCCCAAGGCCGGGGGGGGGGGGGGGGCTTGACATCCCTACGTCGCACGCAGATTTGCTTTCTTCATCTTGTTTGGCCCCTTTTTCACAGGGACAAGTAAACATTTGCCGGACCATGAACTCCAGTTGCCTGAGAAAACCTCGTAGAGGTGTTACAATATTATTCAATCTCGTGTCTTCGAGACGGAATCCATCAGTTATCAAATTGGGCACTCTTCGAGTGCCTGGAGGGACATGCAGCCCCAACTACTCAAGAGGTACGGTCCCTTTGCCCCCCCCCCCTCCCATTTGGCTGCGTCTTCACACCAACGTCTGTTAAAAGGGTCTTCGTCTGCTAGTTGTTTATTGGAAGATCCTGGTTCTTTTGACCGCTTTGTTACGTCAGCTTTTCTAACATTCTCCATTCCCATACCGGTGAACCTCCAAAAATGAAAATGAATCAATGTACGGACGAATGAATGAATGGATGAATGAATGACAGCGCAAAGCTCACGGCGGTCATAGCAGCCACACGCAGTGCTCCAGCGGTCCCAGCCGGCTCTCACCCCGTCAGCGGCGACTGCTGACTGGCGCGCTCCAGGGGTCCTCCCGACCCTCCCCTGGCCCGTGCGCCACGCAAACACGTCCCGAAGACCGCGCATAACGCGACCTGGATACACCGCCGGGGTAAACACCCATTACCCCGGCGGACGGGTCACGACCCGGACCGGAGATGAACGGATTGCCGTCCGTCCCGTTTGTCGGGCGGGCGCCCCGACAGGGGTCAGCGGACCGCTTCCGGGACGGGGGCGGCCGCGGCCCGCCGCAGGACCGGGGCCGGTGCTGTGGAGCGCCGCCGGTAGTGCCGCCAGACGCCGTGATAGCACGGGGTTCAGATCGGAGCGAGGGGTTGATGACCAGCCTGGTATGGAGGGAGCGTGGTAGCTATGCTGGCTTGGAGATGCACGGAGTCGATGTGGCTTTCAAACGCGGTGGTAATTGTGCCAGCCCAAGGGGTTAGTTGGAGGCAGGCAAGTGCAGAACTTGGGAACTTGGTCAGGTTTGGGCGTAAGGCAGACCGCAGGTCATTGTAAATACTCGAAAGCGCCACTAACGTTGAAAGTCGGCCACGCCTGTCACTGCCAGCAACAATCGGGTATGTAGCGGGTTAAGACATTTTGAAGCGAACTGACAACATGTGTCGCCACGTGTGGACGCAGGGTCGCTAAGAGGTCGTCAGCCATTACGCCGTGCCATCCATGAATGTTGGAGAAATAAGTGACGGGTCAGATCGATTCGGAGTCCGCAGAATCTATTCCGACTCGAACTGACTCTGGTGGGATCGATTCCCACGCAGGCTAACAATGCGTGACAAGTTGCTTCGTGGACCGCAAACGATAGGCAACGCATAATTTTCGTCTACTCCGATTTCATTCCCAGATGTGACTTTATTCTGCAGCGGCTTTCTTTCGAATCGATGACGTTACTACGGGTCCAGAATCTAGATTAGGCAATGACACCTTGATGATGGGTTTCCTACAGACCATTGACAATGTATTCGTATTGCCGTTTCAGACAGGATATGTTGAGTGTTCAATCTATTGCACATGGAAGTTATCATGCGTGTCAGAACTGAAGCTGATGATTCGCAGCTTTTTGGAAGTCAAAGAAAGACATTTTTAGTCAGACAAACCTGGTTCCCTATCTCCCGTCAGAACGTAACTATACATTCCCACACAAATTCGTAGGAATGTAGATATTTGCATCGACTTTCAGTGACAGGACTCACTACGGTGACCCACCGATGATTCCACAACACGTTATGTTCAGAGAAATCAATTTTACCTGAACGCAAGGTTTCTGTCCATTCAGAAGTCAAATCTAAACCACTGGGAGACAGTCACGAGTTTGGAGCCAGCTGCACCTCTGCTCGTCACAGATTAAACCATTGGAAATCTTAAGGAACGTGTTCATGCGGCAGCGGATCGTTTAGCCGATGCCGCGTTTAAGGTCCTATGGCAGTGTCTCTGCGATTAGGGGGAGGATGTAACGCTTCACGTTAGGTTCCACGTTCTTCTTCTCACAATCCATCCAACAGAGAGAAGGGTCACTCGTATTTAGGCCACAACAATAGCCAGGCTCGCTCGTGTTGTAACAAACGAGTACGAAACACGGCCCTGGTCGTGGCCGGACCTCGTCTGCTCATGCGCAGTGCGCGTCAGCTTATATAATACGCCGAGTGGTGTTGCCAGGCGACATTTGCACTCGAACGGGCTGGCTCGAGAACGCTCCAGCGCGGCCCACGACGACAATGCAGCATCGAGTGCGCGGGCTACCGAACTGAGCATGACCGGCTCACAATAGCTAATATTGCCGTGGTTTGGAAAAGTTGACGGGTACCATTACCGTGGAGAGGTAAGGGATAGACTATGTCCACCAGAAGAGCTAGTGAGCGGGCACATACAAAACAAACGGACGTACGAAGGGAAAAAAACTGGAGGTAGCCGTTGCTAGGGAAAGGCAAAATCTGCTATTTAATTGCCTACAGGTACGCCAAATTTGGCGCGGCTTTACTGTGTGCTTTGGAAATAATTCTGGAACAACCTTCTGGTACAACCTTTGAACCCCCACACAAGCGCGTGTTATGCTACGGTTTTGCGTGGGGCGGAGCAGTACGTGAAAATGTGTCTGAATTTGGCGATGTGCCACATTTCGTTATTCAACTTCGTCATGACATCAACAATGATAATCGACAACATAATCATTATCAACAACGCTCAAAAATACTCAGTTGTGTCCAATAGCTCATCATGAACAACTCACTATGACCAATATCTGCTTGGCATTGAAGCTAAAAGCAAACTGCTTAATAAGCTAATGCGGCGAAACAGAAGCCTAGATAATGCGCTGCAAACTCGACAGTGAGGATGAATTTGCTGTAACAGTGGAATGCCTGTCACTAAATGCGCGATGCATATGTAGTCCTCACCCAGCAATGCACCCGAAACCTAAAACCCTCGCAACCTGAAAATCTGATTTAATCCGAATGGTTGAATTCATTCAAATGGCGAGAGAACGCAGCTTCATGCTTTTTTCAAATGCAATGACTACACGATTCCAGATGACACACGAACGTTCTCTCAATATTGTCCCGAAAAGCGCAAAGCTGTCAAAAACAACACCACTGTTCCAATTAATGGTGGCATGTGTCTATCCCAGCCTAATAAAGTGCGACTGCGTTTTTTGTTACAGGTAATATCTGTTGACAAAAAACGGCCCATGAATAGGCAATTTACAGACGTCGCCCTTCCGTGGCAGCCCGTTGGCGGCCTGCGTAAAATGCTAGCAAAAAGAACGGATATTGCCGCGTAGAGACGCCAACCGTTGAGGCGGAAAGTAAGGTTCGGTAGAACGTTGAAGTCAGACTGACCGCATTTGTGATGTGACGAAAGGTGTAGTGGTAAGTTCGCCTTCCAGAATAAGCGTTCATACATGGCTCACATGCAAGGGCCATTTAGCCGTTGGCTTGATAGTGTCAGCCTTGAGTCGGCCTTCATAGTGTCAGCCTTGAGTCAGCCTTGATAGTGTCAGCTAGGACAGCCGACGGTCGTGTAGCCGCATGACACTGTTAAGGTCTTTCGTGCTATTTGGATAAGAGATCGAGATTAACTGAATCTGTCGAAGACATGATGCAAAAATGAGATGGTAGGTTAAAAGTGCTAACAATTAGCTGTGTTCAGCACGGAGGCTGTTCAAAAATTTTCTAGGCAAAATGTTGTTTACCGCATAGTTTTTCACCTCGTAACTGAACTGGACTCATGATCTGAAGTATTGACGCTGAACCAACATCAAAATAGAAATGTAGCCCAATATTGTTGTCTTATGATATCTTACAACAGTGAATAAGTGGCGTCAACATCATGCTTAGTTACAGGAAAAAAGTGCCTGGGCTTACATTTGACGGACAAAAAAAGCCACACTACAAATGGTTTACCCCAATTTCTAAAGCTGACACTCAACTGAGGACATCACGTTAAGGTTGCGGCTTCAAGTTTCCCACCTGCTTACTCCGTAACAATGCCGCTACGAGAAAGGATCAAATAAATGTTTTTTGGGTAATGACCATTTCCTACACTTTTTTGTAACGTGCAAACCAAAAGTATGGTAACTCAAACCAACATTGGGGGGGAGGGTGACGTCACAAAATAATACAAATCGACACCCGTATAAGCTGGAATGATATAGAATCCTAGGTAGGCTCTAAACCAGCATATTCCCACACTTTTTACGTTGACTATAATATGAAAAACATTATTCGAGGGATCCCCAAATGAACGCGTGTTTTAGCTCCTCGCTCGGCTGATTGACGTGGCGAGCATTGCCACTGAACAGTAACACGACAGCAAGCGGGCGGCGTTGCCAGCGAGCAACGCCAGCGTAACGTTTGGCACAGCTTGGGGAGGGAGGTGTCATTTGTTCCCCATTCCGCGTCATTCGTCGGTCCGTTACCCACACCCACTGTGCGGTAAATGGACAGCTTGCACTATGCGCGAGAGACGACTCTGATCTGCGGCAATCTCAGGGTGTCCCACTTGATAGGATGGGGGCGTGGACAATTTTCCTCTCACCGACCCCATGGCGACGCCTGAATACTAATGAGTTATGGATTTCGGGATTAAAAGGGTCAATGGAAGGCCTAGTGCCATTCTCACCTCATCAAACACAGGTCTTGTGAAAGCCTCCGAATCCCCCCCCCCCCCCCTCCCGACATAACGGCCACAGTGCTTTGTCCATGCAGCGGTGTGATGCGCAGTCCATTAGATGGCTGCCCACTGCATCCAGTCATGGTTAAAAGACAACGGGGAATGACAAGCTTCGCAGCAACCGATCAGCACGGACGCTGTACCTGCTTAACATACGTACCAGTATGTTATAACATACATATAACAAACATACGTACCAGCGCCACGAAGCGGAGCTGCTACGACCATCAGTACCAAGCTACACCGCGAGATGACTCTGTCACGGAGCGCCGCCACTCACAGCGTCTGGCCCTCGCCGATGTCGTCCTCGAGCATGTGGGCGAACACGAGCCGCACGCCGGACCGCCGCAGCTGGGCGGCCACGTCAGCCAGGTCACGCTCGTTGGTGCCGGGCACGAATTGGCTGTAGAGCGGGCTGATCAGCTTGTGAAGCAGTCGCTCCCCCAGCAGGCGCTCGCTCCGCCGCAGGATCTGGGCCGGCAAGCGGGGCCGGTAAGAGCGGGCCGCCCACGCCGCAGCCCTGCTGCCAGGCGCGCTGGTGGCCAGGGGTGACGGCACGGACGCTCAGATCACATGCGGTCGGAGGCACGATGGACAACGCGGTCTGAAGGGTGGATATGTCAGTGATCTAGTGGGCACACGGACTGCCATTCCTTTTAACGACATTTTGAGTACCTGCGGTTAATTTAAGATTGACTTTTCCTGACAGCAATTATATCTGGCAAATAGACTAAATATGCGCTAGGTCTTAGTAACTTCACTTTGACAGTGTGATAGTAAAAAAGTAAAGATGCATTTCCAAAGTCCCACCAAACAGCTGGCATTCATGACCGACGGCCGTAAGACTCCTCGCTGCCATCATAAAACATTAGAGGTTTATACGGTCGTCACTATACTCAACGAAAACGAGACCAGACGAAGGATATCAGCTGGGAGATCCAGACCAGACACAGAGAAAACACGGCTATCATTTTCCCTTGGCATGCGCTCCGGTGTTGCTGGTACGTCTTGAAAATTTTTGTTGTTGGAAATGTGTTGTCTGTTGACAAATTTTCAGTGGACGTTGGCAGCTTTTCTTGGTGATGGTTGTTTAGCCACCTACGCAACTGCGTTCAGGTCTTGCAATCCTTTCAGTTTTCTCTTGAAAGCCTGATTCGCTGGGTGAGCGCTGAGAAAGCAGGCGTGGTTGATTTGTTCACTCTTCGCTGTTCTTATTGTCGAGCCAGTCACACATTTTGGTCTTCACCACCCTGACATTCCCGTCCGGGGCATTCTGAATGCGTGGGTTGTATGCAGAGGGGCTGAGGTCTCCCTTCAAAATGCTCTGATCTGTCATCTTCGACATTCGAAGCTCCTGAGCACGTCGACGACATGAGTCTTGTGGTAAACCGTCGCAGAGATCTTGACCAAATCGATGTTGTCCTTGGACCGAGACGATCGCCTGCTGACTCTGGGAAGATCGAGCCCATGCCCATGGTCCTGAATCTCCGCATGAAACCCAGAACGCATCCCCTGGTCGGGGCGCTGCGTTTTCAATCCATGTGCAGTTGAGCCTGTATGAGTATTTCTGCCGTGTAAAGGTAGAATCCCATATGTTGATTTCTGGCCATTTTGCGTGTTTTAGTGTTCGATTCGTCTATTCACGCCGAACGCGGTTATTTAAACCATCAGTTGAGGGTTTCACAAACTTTTAGCCCTTCCTTTTAGCTAAAAGTTTGTGAAAATTTCAACTATTGGTTAAAATACCCGAATTCAGCATGAGCAGACGAGTCAGATGACATACAAAAACGCAAAATGACCAGAAATGAACATAAGGGTTTTACCTTTGGACAGCAGGTTTACGCTCCTGCTTCAGGAATGCGCCAACATGCGAACTCGCCGCACACACCAGCGCAGGACAAACGTTGCGGGTCAGTCGAGCTGGACTGAAATTAGCACTAACCGCCAGCACGACCGGTAAAACAGCACTCAACGCACCACTCCCACCAGGCAAGGATACAACCTGACCGTGGCGTAAGGAATACCGACAGGCGCATGGCTGATACAGACAGGGACGGGCTGGGCTGCCGGCCGAGGCGCATGGAAGCGAGGAGGGGTATAATCTGCGTACCGCAAGCACGTAGGAGCTCTCACGTGCTAACGTGGGTGGCGTCTTCCGTCAGCCTGTCTTTGACTGCCTTCGCTCTTTCATCTGAAGGCTGTATGCATGCGAAAGAATGCGTCAACACGGTGCAAGCCACTTTGTCTAGTTGTCTTCTTCCGTCTGAAGTCGGGCATTCATTTTCAGGACATCCGTATGCAGTGGGCAGCCAAGGGGAGCTTTTGGGGCTATGCCCCCCTAGAGGTGGGGTGGCGGGATCTCTGAAGTCCGGAGGCCCCGCTTCTTTTTGCAGGTTGAACCGCCCGAGGTGGTTCTCAAGTCATTAAAATTAGGAGACAAGCATAATGGGACGTTGAGCCTAAAAACATCCTCTGAATTAAAGAAACAGAACCCCTATAGCGACGAATAAGGAGCCCCTTGGCTAAAAGGGCCCCTGAATTCCGGTTTGACTGCCTCCTGGGTTAAATCCGGGCTAGGCCACTGTCCATAAGCAGCTGAAGCCTGCTCTTTTGCAGTGCAACCAGTGCAATTGCAATGTGACCAATATTGGAGTGAACCGCTTCTTATAAAGGCATACGCCATAGACAAGGCAGCTCTTGTGCATCCGAACATGGTAATGCATCATTCATCGCGTTAGATTTCTGGAGTCATTAAGACGCTCAGGTCACACGAGAGCACGTGATCTACGTGGCTCCGCACGTGCCTGTATGCACGCCAGGAGTTTTCGCCTCAGGCGGTCACGCGCGTCAAACCACTCGCCACGTACCGCCAGTGAGTTGTCGACGAACCAGTCCAGCGAGCAGAGCTTGAGCACGGCCAGGGCGCGCACCAGCTCCGGCATCGACTTGCTATCGAACACCTGCTTGGGGTCGTGGAAGTCGAGCGTCGGCGGGTCCGCCAGCTGGGCAGCCGGCGCCGTCTGCAGCTGCCGCCGCCGGACCAGCTGCAGCTGCCGGCGCGGCCGGGTCAGCCCACGCACCGCTGCGGTTCTCGCGGCCGCGAACATCGCGCCCAGCGCGGGTCACTCGGGTCACGCGGCCGCCGCCTCGCACGCGCTGCGACTGACGGGCGTCCGAGGCGTCGCGAGCCGCGCGGGACAGAACAGGCCACGGTACTGGACGCGGCGATGGGCGGCCTTGGCCGTCCACCGGAGGCCGCGGGCGGACGCGCAGAGATCGAACCGGTTTAAACCGGCTCAAGCCCCGGTGGCACCGCGGTCGCCACCAGTGGCAGCGTAAACACTGGGTCACCACCGCTGGCTCTCACCGCCCCGGCCCGCCAGCCCCTGGCATCGATCCAGATCACGTGACCCGCCGACTGGCCAGCTACGGCGCCACGGTGGGCCGACAGCCAACGCGTACGATGCCTGTGCTCACGTCGTGCAACACTCCGCAATTCGAAGGTTCGTGTATTGCGTTAGCATGCCACAGGCACACGCACACTCCATCCTCAAGTTACACTTGAGAATCGCTAGTCACTACCGCTCGGCCAATATGGATGAACTAAATGAATTGTATCGCACCCTTGTATAAGCACAGTCCATTCGTAATGCATGGCGGCACCGATCGCCGGCCGCCGTCACAGCGGTCGCCACCAGCGGCGACCCCGGTCGCCGGACCACAGCCAGTGGCCGCTCGGTCCGAGCGCTGTCGGTCCCCGAACCCGTACGGCGCGTCACCAGCCACCCGAGGCCTCGCCGCGGCGGCGGGCGGCGGCGGGCGGTGGCGGCGTGGCCGCCTCGGGCGCCGACTCCGCCCGGCGCGGCCGACAGCAGACGCGCCGGTCGGCCGGCCGTCAGTGGCCGCCGCCCGGCTGGTGGTCCGTCTCCAGTATGACGGCGCCCTGACTCTTGAGGTGCGCCTTGAGCAGCTGGTTGGCCGTCACCAGCGCCTCGTTACTCTGCTTGAGCATCTTGATGTCCTCCAGCAGCTTCTCGTTGTCGCGCACCAGCTCCATGTACTTCTGCTGCATGCCGCGCGTGTCCTGCACGTAGTCGCACGCCTGCGACAACACGGCGCCTTTGCTCTGGAACCGGGGAGTGCGCGTCAGGCGGACGGTCTCAGACGCTCCAGACACTCCAGACACTCAGACAATCGAAGCTCCAGCTCATAACTCTGGAGAACAACGCTAACCACCTGACGGTGCGCCGGAGGCGAGTGCTTTTGACACCGAAACCACGAGCGTCACCCAGCGAAATACACCAAGCTCGGAGCACCCGCACTGAGGTCACGTAAGCATTCGACGACGTGCGAAGTATACACTTGCCATTCCTTAAGCCCACGGCTGCACAAACAATGACCGGCCGTAGCACCCCAGCTAAACATCCGACGCCGCAGCATCGGCCAGGCACCTCAACGTGCCCATCGTGGCCCGACTGGCGGCGAGCGGTGACCAAGTGCTCGAGTTCGGTCTCATGCGTCCCACACGTTATTTTTCAGCGGGCATGCAACACGCGGGCGTTCCGAAAAGCATTGTTTCGGTGGATGATGACGGCGATTTGGGGTTTTAGGGCGCATCGACCGCTGTAGGTCATGCAGCGCCCAATTGTTTCGGGGGAGTTATGTCTCACTTGCACAAGTAGTATGCACGCCCCTCGTTCACGTGCACAGCAAAATACGAGCATCCCGCCCAAAGGCACGCATTAAAACAAACGGGAATAAGTTGATCTTAAAACACCCCCAACAAACATGAGAATTTGTGCCGTAATAAAAGTCCACAGCGAGCATGCCTCGTTCATCTATTAGGCCCTTCCTAACTGTCTGACGCCGACCTGACCGGGTGGGCTCCATCTGTGTGACTACTTCCTTCTCTGGTTCACGCCTTCGTGATCAGTGATCTCACTGGGTCACCCGTCCTTGTGCTCCTTAACCTACCCCAGGTCCTACAGCTGAGCGACTGCTGATCAAATTACAACATTGTGACCAAGTGACCCCCCCCCCCCCCCCCGAGGTCTCCCGTTATGCTCTCCGTGACGTCCAACAGGTCGCCGATCAGTGCGACCTGATCCCTCCCGCAAATTTCCATCTATACAGCCCGCGACCTCCCGCGGGTCACCGCGTGATCTCTGACCTCCCTGGCTCGCCCGTCTGTTCGACCAGGCCATGACCCGACACCCCGCTGGCCCGGCCGCCGAAGATCTGCAACCTCACCCCGCACACCTGGTTCTGCTTGCCGGGGTCCCCGGTCTCGGGCAGCAGCTTGCCCAGCTTCGTGATCCAGCTGTTGATCTTGTCGCGCCGCCGCCGCTCCACCTCGTTGTGCGTGGCGCGCCGCCGGTCGTCCCTGTGCACCTCGCAGCGGCCGGGCCCGCGAGCCGGTCCGCCTCCCAGGCCCACGTCCTGCGGCCCGCTTATCACATAGAAGCCGCCTGCAACGGGCGCGCCGAACGGCCGGTGAGACGAACGCCGAGGTGGCGCCGGACGCTCGGCGGCCGCTGTGCGACTGAACGGCGGATGTGTGAGGGCAGGGGCCGGCCTGGCGGCGTGACACACACGCACAGCGCGGGCAGGGGCGGGTGTCACTGGTGACATCAGGACCGCAGCCGTCGTGCAGACAGCGTCACAGCCGGCCGGCAGCGGCAGAGCAGCGGGCGGCGCCAGCCACGCAGGCGCAGGGTGCCGCCGGAGCCGATGACACCACACACAGCGCCAGGCCGACTGCCGCGGCACCGCCGGCCAGCAGTCTCGCGTCGCACACGTCCCTGGTGTTACAGTCAAGGCATCGTCGGTCGTCGAACGTCGATCGGGACACCGTCCGGATAATGACTGAGCCGTGAGGCCCTCTCGGCCGCCGCCCACTCCCAGGTCCGCTCGGCCACGAGGCAACAACGCGGGAAGAGCCGAGCGAAGTTCAGCTGCAGGAATGCACACTGCGGCCTTGCCCAGCGGGCCGGTCACCAGGAGCACTGGCGCTATCGTCACCCAGCTGGCCCTCTTGATTTAGCGACGGGGGGAGGGATGGGGGGGGGGGGGAGTGAGGTGTTACAGGGAGAAAACCTTAACACAGCTCGGAAAGTAGTCACACGTATGCACGCAATCCAATCGCGGCTATCGCAACGTCACAGCAGCGCCGTTGGTAGAACAATAATTGCCGGCTGCGAAAAGCACTTACATGGCCGAATCGACGCTAACGAACTAAAATCTTCGCATCAGAAAACCGGTTTAAGTGGAAGTGTCTCCAGACGGTTTGACAGAAGCGCAAACCAGAAGTCACGCTTTCCCATCCGTCGCCCAGGCGGCGCCCAGCAGTCACCAACGGCGTCTCCCCTCCCCCCCCCCCTCCCTCCCCATCGCCGAGCGCCGCAACCGCATCCAGCGGAAGAGGCGGCCCAGGCGGCGTGCCGCGGCGCACTGCAGCGCCGACCAGACCGAAACCGCGGCGCACTGCAGCGCCGACCAGACCGCAACCATGCTGCTGTGCGGAATCTGCGATGCCCTACTGATAACGGGAAACTCGGCGTGCGGCTGCTTTAAGCCGCGTTCGCGTGCGGTGAGCCCCGTCACCAAATCCAATGGGGAAAATGATGGCAGTGGCGCCACCACGCACTGCTATCCCCCCCCCCACGCCATACCACGTGGCTACAACCGCCACTGACCACCGCCACATCCCCTCCTGACCTCCACCGGACCCCAACCCGCACGGGATCCACCGCTGACCTGCGTCAGATCCCCTCACGACATCCACCGGACCTCTGCACGGGATCCACCGCTGAGCCACGCCAGATCCCCTCATGACATCCACCGGGCCCCCCAGCCTGCGCGGGACCCACCGCTGAGCCGCATCAAATCCCCTCGTGACACCCACCGGACCCCTCCCCCCCCCCCCCAGCCCGCACGGGATCCACCGCTGACCTGCGCCAGATCCCCTCATGACATCCACCAAACCCCTGCACGGGATCCACCGCTGAGCGGCGCCAGATCCCCTCGTGACACCCACCGGACCCCTCCCCCCCCCCCCCCCCCCAGCCCGCACGGGATCCACCGCTGACCTGCGCCAGATCCCCTCATGACATCCACCAAACCCCTGCACGGGATCCACCGCTGAGCCGCGCCAGATCCCCTCGTGACATCCACCGGGCCCCTGCACGGGATCCACCGCTGAGCGGAGCCAGATCCCCTCATGACATCCACCAAACCCCTGCACGGGATCCACCGCTGAGCGGAGCCAGATCCCCTCATGACATCCACCAAACCCCTGCACGGGATCCACCGCTGAGCGGCGCCAGATCCCCTCGTGACACCCACCGGACCCCTCCCCCCCCCAGCACGCACGGGATCCACCGCTGAGCGGCGCCAGATCCCCTCGTGACATCCACCGGACCCCTGCACGGGATCCACCGCTGACCTGCGCCAGATCCCCTCATGACATCCACCAAACCCCTGCACGGGATCCACCGCTGAGCCGCGCCAGATCCCCTCATGACATCCACCGGACCCCTGCACGGGGCCCGCCACCGACCTGCGCCAGACACTCTCCTGACCTCCACCGGACCCCCTACCCTGGACCTGCGCAGGACCCGCCGCTGACCTGCGCCGGTGCTGCTGAGCGCAGCCAGGCCGTCGCCGGCCGAGCCGGAGGGAATGTAGGCCATCTGTCCGTCGGCCACCTCGCCGGCGCCGGCCGCCGCCGTGAGCAGCGTGGTGCCGCCGCCGCCGCCCGTCGCCAGGCCCTGCTGCACCACCTCGCCGCTGCCGCCCGACGTCGTGTTGATGTGCACCACGCGGTACGTCATGCCTGCTGCGGGGGTGCCGTCGTCAGGGCGAACGTGCCGCACCTCTCCGAGGTGGGACGCGTGGACGTGGGCAGGGTCTCATGGCATAATGACACACTGGCCAAGTGATTTGATGTCTGATAAAATGCCAGCTTTGTCCGTCCTAACAACTAAATCAGCTTGAGCACCCACCCCACTCACAGTCCAGCCGTGATGGGGGTCAAGAGGGCTTGAGCCACCACATGTGCCCACTGATTGTTCCTGACTGAGATGGCCCAAAACAAGTGATGGCAGCAAAGTCAGAAAAAGTCAGATGGTAGGGTGGGCCACACTACTCATAGTAGCAAATTCCAATTTTGCCTGGAATGTCAGATCTTACAGCATGAACTCAGGTTTCACATAACAAGCACTGATAACAATAAGCTCACCTATCAGAAATCACACATTCAAAAACATCTGGACTGTATGTACAAATCCTCTTGAACAGAACATTAGGGCTTGCAGCACCTAACACTTCCTACTTGGATGAGCTATGCCCAGGTGAACCATGGGAGCATGCAGAGTGCACAAGTACATAACTAATGATGACAAAAATATGAATTTGAAGCAGGAGTATCCAGCATCATGACTCAAACCAACCTACCCTGGTGCACCCATGCAAAAACCACTGACCTGGAGGTGCCCCTCCAGCCTTGAAGTACTGCAGCTGCATGGGACTGTCTGGATCACGGCCATTGTTGTCCTCCTTATCCCTGTTGGATAGGGCATTGTCGGCACAAAGGGAGACAGGCTGTTGTTGATGATTGGTGATGCTGTGCCACCCCCTGATATCTGGACTACCGCATGGTACATATTTTAATGAGTATGCTACTTATTGCAGATTTAAAATCAGAACATAACCTCTGCTTCAATACCAATCACAGTGCCAAATAATGTCAAGAATGTCCACCTACCCGTATTGAACGATGGCCAAATTTTGTGGTATGACCTCCTTGACATCAACACCTTCATTCATTCCGGGCAGATCTAAAATCTGAAAAGCATCATGAGGCTACTAATCAGAGAACCCATTCCAAAAATAGGACTTCACACCACAGAGCGTTCAGAACCATATCACAACTCATTCATGGCCAACATTTTTTGAATGGCTGGTTTGATGCCACACATTTTAAATCAACATTTTGCATAACAGGGTTCATAAAGCAAATACAAATATGTTCTGCAAACCTCAATAACTTCCTATCTAGGTATCAAGCCCAAACACAGTCCAAGCATTGTTAACTTGAGAAGATACACATGATGTGCATGTGCCTGAGGATGTTTCAGTCATAGCATGATCTGCCTCAGCTTTACAAAAAAACAGTGGATGGATGGGTGGAAAACAATGTGAAATAGCCCCCACCATTCATGGAAAAATGCACTAAAAAGCAGGTCAGCTTTGAGGCATGGCAATACATGTGGTACATGTAACTTCCCAGGCATTTTGGGTACCTACATCCTACTCTGAAAGTTTCTTGGCTACTGAATGGAGAACCTATTCCATGCTGTATGCAACACCATGTCACACCATGGTTCAAACATTCAATCATAATTTGTTATGGGGGTACAAGCTTGCCTGTAAAATCTTGAGAGCAGTTCACATGAATTTAAACTAGTACCCTTTTCACTTATTGGTGGAGAAGTTTACCTAATGGGTGTTTTTTTACAAACAATCTTGCAAGCCCTAACAAGCTCTTACTCTGCCCGCTACACATGATGCTCCCAAGACAGTGGTAAGTATGGGATAGATGGGCGGGTAGACAACTAATTACCAGTTTATGTTGAAAGAATAACACATAATGACCGCCCTATCTTAACGGGAACGGTGTAAAAACGGAACGGTACACAACAGCACTGCACGAACGCAAGGTAGGGAACTTACATAAATGCATCCTGTTTACCACAAGTCCTTGTAGCTCATCTGACTATCTCTCCCGTCATTAATTGCAATTTAAGATTACAGCCAGCGCAGGGCACCACCAACCACGATCACACCTACCGCAAACTCATCCGGAACAGATGATTCGTGGTCACGGGACCAAACACTCAGGTCATGTGACAAGATGGCGGAGGCGCACGAACACTAAGCTGCTTTACTCAGCCCTCGATTCCTGAACAAACTGGACATGAAAAAGACATTCCTGTCACTTTATTACACCAAATAGTTGTTTTGAAAGCGGTTCTGGATTTTGTCCTGATCACATAAGTTAAAAACAGGATAAACACTAAAACTATATAGCAAGCGTAACACCCTGCATCACGTGCCCAAAACGTGACGTCGAGAGCGCGTGACTCCAAGGCCGAGTGGCAGAAGCGGTGCGAGGGATGTGGGCGGATAAGGTGCAGAGTTGGCTATGATTATGATTGTGATTGCATGCGCTCAAATTGATAGGTCATTGTAGAACTGTCGGTGTAAAACTCGTATATCCATATGATCAATATCACGGTTTTCCAAATGCACGCAGCAGAGGCGCCGCCTGTCCAAACAATTCGTTCTGATCTAATGGATGGTCTGTCGTCCAATGCATGTTTATATATTGGCTGCGTCCTGCATGCGCGTTGTAGTGCTCAGTGGGCGGCTCGGAATAGGTTCCTCGCGGGAATGGGACGGGTCGGGACCCGGTGAGTCGTACTATGCAGGAAAAATGGCCGCTTTAGATACAAGGAGGTAAGATTTACGGGTAGGGCGGAGTGTGAAAACTCAGTGGGCGTTTGGTTAAGTCTCAATGCTTCCCTGCTTCCTGAGGGGAGGGGAGCAGGGCGTGAAACCTGAGTGGTGATAGATGTTAGCATACAAATGATTATGTGTGCGGGTCTTATCGCCCGGCCTTTTTGAACCTGATGCATGTTTTTGTGATGTAATTGCTAATGCATTAATGTGCTTTGTCGAAGGTGAGTAGCGCCACGACGTTTCTAGTCCCCATTCCGATAGTTGCACGCGCCGCGGAGGGTGGGAATGAAAACGATGCCGCTACGGCTGATTCGAGGTGTGCGGTGACGTTCAAAATTGGTCGTGCAGCTTGCCCGGGCGAAGGTAGGTAGGTTGGTGCGGGTAAATACCGTGATTATCACAATTCTTGGATCTCGATAGCTACGTTCAGCTCTGACGCCAGTCAGCAACAAGGTGGGGTTAAGTTTTTAAAACTTCCTCGTGATTAGTTGTAGAACACCCCTGACCTGAGCAACAGTCTTACTCTTCAGTGGGTCCTTCAATGCCACCGCAATGTGTCAGAGGCGACCACCACCTGATCGATAAATGAATCAGGGAGATTTTTTGTACGCCTGCCTGCCCATTTTATCACTTTTTACTGACTGATGTACACTGTTTGCGTGGTCTGTATGCTCCTGTTCCGGCCAGCTTCTGTTTGTCGTGCAAATTGTGCCCAGATGCGGAGTCCTGAGCGGTGTGACCGATTCCCGAGCCGAACACGCGGTTCAAGCGGCCTCTGACGCGGCCAGAGCAGTGGCGATGATTGGTTGTGATGCGACACGTGGCCGACAGGGGGGAGGGGGGGGGCATCCGCCGGACGGTACGTTTTTGGCCCCCATAGGAGTGCCATTGACCGTGTATGTGGGTGCAAGCAGCGATCAGTAGTTGGGGCTTCGTAAAGATACTCATGACATAACCCGGGCGACGATGAATTTTCAATCCTTGTTTTTCCCAAATGCAGAGATGGGTCGTCAAGAATCGTTTTGATCGCAGAATGTGACGGATTCGACAGCGTTTCAACAAGATACTTTTTAAAAAAATGGGGGGTTAGGTGGTGTTTAGACACCCTCAGGCGTGGTTGCGAATCGTGCTAAATAAGTTAAAAACGCAGAAAAACAGTTAAACAGAACAAAATGAGTTCTCCGACCGAACATGGCCCGCCCCACTAGGATCAACAAAACTGGTCGCTGGGGGCCAGGCGGCGAGCTTGGTATCACCTAGAGTGACCGGCAGTCTTGGATAGCATCTGCCTGCGTCCGAGCTGAACTGGCGAGGTCTCCCTCACCGTAGCGCAGGGAAACAACGGGGCTTCCCCGGTACATCGAGGCCAAACAGGCTGGTCGAGCACGACACGCTGGATGCAGTCACTGCGCAGTACAGCTATCTCCACCTAATCAGACGACTGTGGTCGTCAAAGGATGAGCGGTGTGTCCCGCTGGTAGTTGTGGTGTATGCTGTGGTCGTGGCAGATGTTTGGGGATTTCAGGCGTTATCTACGTCTGGGCTTGTATCTGCGGTAGCACAGATATTGATGGCGGTTAATTGTACACCGTAGGCACCTATGTAATTTTTTTCGGCAACGAAAGGACGGAAAAGTGGGAGTTAAAGTGGTCCTTTCGTTTAGTAACTCGATCTTCGGGTCACGTATTTTGTTTCGAATCCATGTGGGTCGAGTTGAGCGCATTAATTATCGGGATTCATTGGACCAATTTTAAGGGCGATGCGTCTGGAGCAAAGTTTGCAGTCTGAACGAACCTTATCAGTAGCCAATTTTTTTTCTTGAAATCCGTGCCACAATGCACCAAAAGGGCGATTGTGTCGCATAAATAAAACACCCAACTCTCTTGCATTCGTGAACATTGCGATGCTGCAGCTTAAGTGAATACAAAAGAATACGAGCAAGCTACTCTTGAATCACTGGCGAATGGCGTCACCGCATTGCAAGTGGGGGACAGATAGGATATCTGGCTATGCACACGTGGCTAACAACGGCCAATGCACCAAGTTTGGACGTCCGCACAGCCGGGCGTGCGAAAGGAGCATAGCGCACACAGCTGCTGGCTGGCCTGCACTTTGACCGCACTCGGGTGAGTATCGATGGCTGACTCTGAAGGCCCAGTGTCCACGGGACTCCAGCCGCTGGACAACAGTGACGTATTGTGATGAGTTACTTACATATGCAGCGTAAAGCCGTCGGCACTGCGCACGGCACGATACCTGCTTGAATGGTTGTTCTGCCACAGTCCTACCTTGCAACGCCAAGAACGCAACCGGTCTACAGCTCAACTTAAATAAGCGGGCAATACCGGGCTGAAATCATAGGGTTGAAAGCGCGCGCGAACGCCTCACGCCGCGTCGAGACCGCTTCACTCTAGATGACACCGGAATCCCCACGTGCCAACCCACTCATGGGCCTAGCTCGGCGATCTCAGTTCGACACACCGGTGACCCGTAGCTGTCTCGGTCCAAACAGATGCATGCGCCGGACGAGTGCATCCGTTGCCGTTCACCGGCCATTTTCACTACCACCCGCCATTGTTCGCTATCTTGACTAGATAAGGCTCGGCGCCGGAGCGTTGCTATGTTACAGTGCACGTGATTTTAGTTGCCTTATCCCTGTTCCGTTTCGTTCTGTTCCGTTCCGTTTCGCTCTGTTCCGTTCCGTTTCGTTCCGTTCCGTTTCGTTCCGTTCCGTTTCGTTTTGTTCCGTTCCGTTCCGTTTCGTTCTGTTCCGTTCCGTTTCGTTCTGTTCTGTTCCGTTCCGTTTCGTTCTGTCCCGTTCCGTTTCGTTCTGATCTGTTCCGTTCCGTTCCGTTCAGTTCCGTTCTGTTCTATTCTGTTCTGTTCCGATCCTTTCCGTTCCGTCCCGATCCGTTCCGTTCCGTTCCGTTCCGTTCCGTTCCGTTCCGCTCCGTTCCACCTCACATCGCATCGCAGCGCTACGCAATGAGAAGTGGTCAGTATGGGGCGGTGGATCACGACGGTGGCCACGCTCCCGCCAGCGGGAGGAGCCGTGCGATCGACCAGCTGGCTAGCACTCGTCACAGTGGGGATTTGCGGACCTCTTATGGACGGCGCATGGCGTGCCACCCGGTGCTGATCGGTCCGAGACCGGCTTGGCTCAGCCAGTCACGTTTCGGGAAGCTCCTTGCCGCGATTGATCAGAGCGCCGCGCAGTTTTCAGCGGCCAGAGCCACAGCGCATTACAAGTTATACTCTGGAACTAAAGAGCTATTGACGTACACGCTCCATGTCTGCGGACGACTTTTTGCATCATCATGATATCGCCGAATTTCCACCCGCATTCGACCCACACGGAAGTTAAAAATTTATAAAAGGCGACAACGCGGGAGGAGCAGAGCCCCGAGCTCAAAGCGCCGTCAGGGGAGCGATGCGAGAGCACCATCTCCCCAACGACGAGATGACGAGCAGCGACGCTGGCAAATACGTGGGTCAGAGCGTGCAGTGAACCACGTGCAATACTGCACAGACGATGGGTTCCTCCGCTTTGTGGCGGTTTTAAAGACTTAGTAGTGCCAGATTTCGACAATCACAACAGCTGGGACGTCAAATGAGAACGTGCAGAAAACGTGCCGATTTCCAGTCGCGCCCGAATTGGTCGATGGGTAATCCCTGTGCTGCACGGACCAGGAAGCCGAGCCGTTCTCATTTCTTGTTATATCGATATAAGCCTGAAGTCGCTCCCAGCCGAGACATTGCTTTACAGAAAAGGATTGCACACACACACAACCTCAAGCTCAAGAACTGCAACGCATAAAGCCCAGTTTACTGTGGCCAACAACCGCCACAAAACCTGCGTTCATGCTCGGCCAAAATCACAGTGGGCGCAACCATTCAAAATGCGGCGATCTTCTCTGTCCCAGATGAAAAACTGTCCACGTCTATTATCAAATAACTTGCCAGCCATCTTCTTAACAAAAAGCGCATGAATCTCTTTCGCAAACTTCCGCACGTGTCGTACGCATTAGAATAGTGTGCATCCCTATGTATTCATTGATTTGACAATCCTGCATAGGTTTCCAGCGGTACGCAGCGCTATCTAATGCCGCTTTGTCATCATCTACTGTACATACATTATCAAACTCGCACCTTTCGTCCCCTCGTTCATGCAGTGCTGCACATGGCGTCTTACTAGTTTCTGCGTTGTTTTTGCCAATCGTTTGCTCTTCCCGTAGGAGCTCGTCAGCAAAGTTTTGGTTTCGATGTGAGGGAGGGGCAGCGGTCGAAGGGCGGGTCAGTAATCTCCTGAACTCCAATGATACTTCACTTCACGGCTTTATAACACCTCCTTTAGTATAACGGCCATGCGCAGCAAAGGTCACGTTCGTCTTCAGTGCGGCACATACTAACCACATGAGAGCCACAACGCTCGTAACA